TCTCATCTTCCTCTGCTTCCCCCCCAAGGACATCAGCTCAGGGACCTGAATAAACCTTCCTGTCTTTCCCCGGAAGCAAAAAGCATTTCCCAGAAAAAATAAACTTAAAAGAGCAGACCTTCCCGAACTGTCCTCCAAACGGATGGTGCTGCTGACTGTGACTGAGCTTCAAGAGACAGGCCCAGGCGCGGACTCGGGGCGGTGAGGCAGCGACATGAGGCTGGCAGGGGCTGAGCAAGCAGACAGTCCCACAGAGTCAGCTGGGGCTGAACAGCCGGCCGCTGCCCAGGCCTAGTCTCTGCTCCACGAATTCTGAAGCAGTTAAATGGGGTCCTTGAGGGCTTGTCGTCCCAGAGGCAGGGCGGAGCCGTGGGGACCCCTTCCAGGCCTGACTCGGACAGGTCCCCGGACCAGGTCAGCGTAAAGTGCAGACCGTGGCTAAAAACATGCAAGGAAGAAGCAGGTCATGCCTGAAGTTCAACCAGCTGCTACAGGGAGCATGAGTTAGTAGGGAGCTAAGCAGCTGACCCGTCTCGCTTCTCCTAGAGTGGGAAAGCAGGTGCTGGGGACAGGGTGGCCAGGACCGTCACTACCCGAGCCAGCCCCAGCTCGGCAAGAACAACACGAGCCGGAGACACCGGAGATAGCAACAAAAATCCTCGGGGTTGGTTATTTTTTTGCTCCCGCGGGTCATGCACTGATCTACGGTTTCTGAACAACATGCACTTACCGATGAATGTTAAAATCAATAAAAGGGTGGAGACCGCAGCTGTCCCGTAAAACATGGTGCGGATGTTATGAGCCAGGAGACTTGTGTCGTTCTGCGTGTTGGGAACCAAGACTGGAGGCAGCAGAAAGCCGATGGCCGTGCCAAGCTGTGAAGCAAACAGGTAGATGAACAGCCTTCGTTACGAAGAAAAAGCTCGGACTGACTGGACCCAAGACACAGGGGAGCCCGTGGGTGTGATGTGCTTTTGTAAGCTCTAAATAAAGCACCAGGTTCCTTCTTAGGGAGGTAATGCTGGCGACAGTGGACGTTTTTGCAAACCACGTGTCTGACAAATGACCAGGTTTCAGAATAGGGAAAGACACAAGGTGCCACGCTGCACACACGAGAGCTCCTGTCATCACAACATTGGAACGTAAAAGCGTTGGCCAGGGAACCTGTACATGGCTGGTGGGACTGTGAAGCACAGCACGCCCATGGCCACTAGCAGCGAGGACAGGACACGAGGCAACATGATTCAGCCCGAAAAAAGAAGCACACGGCTGACCACGTGGAGGGACCAGAAGATGTCCGTGAACGCGGCCAGATACAAAAGGCCTCGTATTGAACGGGTCCGTTTACGTGAAAGGTCCTGCAGCAGTAAAGCCACAGGGATGGAGCCAAAGTTCTCAGGGGCTGGAGGCCGGGGCAAGGAGGGGTTTTTCGGGGCGGTGACTGGTCTGGAACTGGCTGGAGAACGTGTTGCCAGCACTGGATATTGCCCCAAGCCCTGACGGTGCGTTTAAATGGCTCAGTGGACGTGTGAATTTCACACAAGTAAGAGTAATGAGGCCCAACATGATCATGGCAAGAGAAATAGAACCAGAGTATTCAAGGAGAGTCGGTGGAGGGGGAGGACAGATTTTGGGGGGCTGGAGGGCAGGGGCAGGGACAGTTTTAAAGATGGAAGCCGAGGGCCTCCCTGGTGGCGCATAAACGGGTTAAGCTCTCACCAGCCACTTCTGCGCGAGTTCGATTCCCGGCCCGGGAGGTGACCCACAGGACGCAGCAGACCTCTGCTGACTGGCCCGCTGCTCCCCTCAGCAGTGGACTTCATCCGTCGGCCTGTTCTGCTCCCCACTCTGTCTCTGGGGAATCCTCTCACCCACCCCTGCACCTCTGGCTTGTACCCCAGTTTTGTATGCATCGATAAATCTTTAAAAAGAGAATGTTGAATAGACGGTATAAATCTAAACTATTGTAAGAAGCAAGCAGCTCCCTTCCAAACATGCAAAAGAAGCAACCAAAATATCAATCACAGATTATTCTGCAAACGCAGCTGCATTTCAAGCTACCCCTTCTGACCTTCCAGGGAAGGAAATAAATTATAAAGTCATAAGCATGTAGCCTTTTTGTGGATTTTCAATAAATCTTACTGTGCTCTGGAAACAGATGTCAGGCTAGGAGAAAGTCTTTTTAAGTAGCTACAGGGAGTGATCTATGTTAAAGAGAGAAGTTGAGTCTTTGAAACAAAATATCTTTATATATATATGTATATATATAATGAGTTTATTTTCACATCATTTTGCACATTTTTTTTTCATCTCAATTGTAATCCCCGTGGGCTTCCCATTAACGAGTCACCCTTAGGCGGAATTAGCTACATTTACACACAGTAGCAAAGGACTTAACCTGCAGATTTTTTTTTAAGATTTATTTATTAATAAGTAAATAGAACTGGAGTGCAGGCCAGAGGTGCAGGGGCGGTGAGAGGACTCCCCAGAGACAGAGTGGGGAGCAAAACAAGCAGATGTACTGAAAGACACTGCTGTGGGGAGCAGCAGGTGGTCAGGAGAGGTCTGCTGCGCCCTGTGGGTCCCCTCCCTGGCCGGGGATCGAACCCATGTTAGAGGTCTGCGGACAGCTTCATAATCTGGTGCTTTAACGCACTGTGCCACCAGGGAGAGCCCTGCCTTGCAGGTTTTAAATTATTGAGTCGGTGTGCAACTCACATGGCAGAAAAATAACAGCAGCAGCAATACACAAAACACTCCCCAGGCAATGGACTTCAAGGCGAGGCGGCCAGGAAACCACCTTTTACAGTGGATTCTGGGCCTGACTTTTCCTGTTCGGAGCGTCCACCTGCCTGTTCTGCTCCCCACTCTCTCTAGTGAAGCCTCTCACCGCCGCTGCATCTCTGGCCTGTACCCTAGTTTTGTATGCATCAATAAGTAAGTCGGGGGGGGGGACCCCTATCACCCCACACAGCCCCCTGTTTAGGACTGCCTCTCCCCTGGCCTTCACTCCAGACACCCTCCTCGGGGGACCCCACCTTACCGCGATGACCTGCTTGGTCCTTCCAGGATCCCCACTTCCCTTCCTCACCTGATTGCCCAGCACGGCGGTGGCACAAGCGGTGGACACCTCCTTGGGCCCGAACCACACCGAGGCGATGCGGGAGGGCAGTCCCAGGATAAACACCTGGGCCACGGAGCACAGGCACTGACCCAGCATGGTGACCCAGAAGAGGTGCGGCCCCACGCTGAAGCACTTGACACAGGCGCCCAGGCAGTTGAGAGCGGAGCCCAGCAGGGAGCTGACCCGCAGTCCTCGGGTGGACAGCAGCCAGGTGGCCGGGAAGATGAGGGGCACGTAGGCCAGCATGTACACCATGGACAGCCAGTCGATGTGCAGCGACGAGACGCCGTAGAAGCCCTCGAACACGTTGCTGATGATGCTGTACTGGATCCACTGGAAGGAGTTGACCAGCGAGGACAGGCTGAAGATGAGCAGCACGGCGAAGCGCCGCCTGGACAGCGCCGTGCGCGGC